CACAATATCAACTTTATCGTCAGTAAATGATCTGTGATAGCTAGAAAAGGTACCACATGGGACGACTAAAAGTCACAAATCATTCGGTGGCTGTTTAATAAGCCTATTTGGTTTATTCACTCAGATAAGAAACTTTACTATCTTCTACTCTGTTAAAATCTTTACCATAGGCTATTATTTCTTACGGATAGCGGAAGGTCGCGGGTTCGATCCCCGACCGCGTCATACCAAAAGACGTTAACATATGGTACTTGTTGGTCCCTGCCTGGCGCTCGGCATTAAATGGAACACCAAGGACTGGTCGGCTCGGAGTCAGTATAATGCGTCTGAGTAGGGTATTCATGCTTCACTGCGGCATGGTATCTCAGTGAGCTAGCACTATAAAACCAGCTAAAGTCTGGGCTAGTACAAGCAGCCGCACATACACATACACTCGCATGCACGTCGTCATATGAGCGAAATATTCTCAGGTACGACGTTAAACCCAATTTCACCTCACCTCACCTCACCTATTATCTATTGCGTTTAATCTATTGTATATGTCTTCTTTGAGTGGCATTTTTAGAATTTGGAAGTCAGATAGAACAAGTATATATGGAGGACAACTTCTTTTATTCTAGAGCACGACGTTTCGATACAGGTTATCGTTATCAAGTGAGAATGGTACATGGGAAGAAATGGTGATATATATATATACAACAAGACTAATTAACAAGCCAAGGCGGAATAACAATGTGATGATAACAAATATATGAACCATATGTTACCATCCTTAACATATTCTGGTTTGTTTCTCAAATATTCCCAGGTACTATTGCCAATAATAGAGCACTTCATTTCCGATTCAACCTTACTGCGCTGTTCTGAATATGTACGTGTATACTGTGACTGCCCGGTAACTGAGTATCGTGTGCCGGGAGTGCTCTATTCAGTGATACGTAAAATGCTGTACCTTCATGTTTATCATGACTAATGTAAATGTATTGTAATTTCAGAGGTACAGATAAGCAGCGTATATGCGTACAATTACGCCAATATTTATGTGAAAACCCAATTTCTATTGCGTACAAGTATACTTGAATTTTTGTAAATACTCAATAACTTTGATCTTACAAGCGTACCCACAAAATGTCAAATGTTAGCTTGCGTACCGGTATATAGAAGAAATGACGTATATTGAGAGGTTCTATGTCAACACATGAACTTGGCAACTTGCAGTCTTTATTATCGTTTCTTATATTACAGATCTAAATATAAGTAACAAACACGTAAATCAGCATTCAAACTTTATATTTTCACAATTAATGGAAAATGGCAAAATACCAAATGGAGTTTGAGTGAGGTGGGTATAATTCATTGGTTACTCAAAGGAAAATTAGGATACCCAATTGAGATGAACACAAGCGAGTACATAACTCAATGACCCAAAAAGTTATCTGTAGCTCTGTAATACTTTTACAACATTGCTGTTTCTGATATATATGCACTTCTATACACGATTGTAACGTAAAACCAGATTGCCCTCATGTTTTAGAGAAGGTAATTCATGTCATTCTGTGGCGGGGGGTTGAAGTATCGTAAAATTAATGTCCTCCTGAGAGGGTACGTAAGTCCTAAAATTATCAAAGTCAATTTACACTAACCAGGATGTTTAAACGTAGTATTCTCGTTATTTTAATTTTGGCTAAATTTTCCTACAATCGCCAGCGGCTGAAGGGATGGTGTAAATCCAGCTAGGGTCCATGCAGGTAGCAAAGGTACTGTAAGTCCCCATGGTCCCTAGTATGGTGATCTACCTTCTGCTGTAACTTTCCACGCTAGTTTTAATTCTAATTGTGATATTCTAGTTGTTTTACTGTCCTTCGTCGACAGGTTTTTATAATATACATATATTCCATTTCGATGTCAAATATGTTCTCGTCACGATATGGCTGAAATATTGCCGATGTGACAAATATTAACTCAATCACTCATTCTGTGGCTGTCTAACAAACAAACGTTCATCCATTAGGTCTTGTGTTGTGTGTGGATTGGCATAGTGGTACCTCTTACCAAGCGAGCTGATCCCCCAATACACTTGCTTGTTAATATAGCGTTTCTGCTGATGTAGGGCGGTGTTGTCTCAGATACTCCAACAGACCAAGCCTATGAACAATTACTTAGATTTAATAGAGTGAGTTGACTGTTGTAACTCAATCTTCAAATTAAAGATAAGGTCAGAGAGTCTGTTTTTCGATTGAACTGATAGCCCGATTCGTGTATCAAAATTACACTGTTCAAGTCATATTTACACCCACCGGTTTTGCTTTTGTAGAGATGATACCTTCAGATGCTGGCGATCTATAGCTGTTCTTTATATTGTATTGTCTTACAACACACTTTCAGTTTTTCATGAAATAACTGCAGCCACCTCACTGAGTCATCTGTTGAAACCTTTCTATACACTATATATATTGTATATATATATGATGCTTTTAGTATCATACTTCGGGACAAAACAACACTTCACGTAGAGTAGAACAAACTGTATTTCTTAAATTTAGCCCCATTTAGAATAATCTCTTTACAATATTACTGTAAATTAAGCTGTTGAATGTTACAGCATGTGTACCCATGGTGTATGACATTGATGTGCATTTTCAGAATGTGATGCATCAATAAAATATTTTCTTGTAATTCTTTCTATTTTACATGTGTTAAAAGAAGTCTCATGCAGTTACATTTAAGAAGCAAATCTCAGATGTTAATACGGTTCAGCGTTGAACGTCTTCAGGAGTTTACGGCTGTAAATACCCGTCTCCTCGGGATGATTGCCTTAATGTTTGATTGTCTGTTATTTAAGCTTTGTGGACATATCACAGTCAGGGTCTCCGCGGGATGATGGCAGTCAAAATTTCAAAGCGTTGACATCATTAATTTATTTCTTTATTTCAACATTATGAAATATTTAGAGGCTTCAATTCCATAGTTTTCTGCTTAGACAAAGAGTTGTGGTAACTGCCCGTTTTCCCAACAAGTGCAACTTTGGTAAACAAAGGAAATATGCTCTAATTCGTGCTACAACAAGTTCAGTTAAATCAGTGTCTTCATAAATCTACTACTGTACGTCAGTCATATTTATTAGGTAGACTAAGTCAACTATTTTACTGAAACTATATTACTATTTGTCGACGTCTTTCATTAACTAGATTAGGGCAATCATAGGAATGAACTCGTCTTTGATTTTGGGTGGTCAGACTCGCTGACTTGGTTGACACATGTCATCGTATCCCAATTGCGTAGATATGCTCATGCTGTTGTTCACTGGATTGTCTTGTCCAGACACGATAATTTATAGACCGCCGCCATATAGCTGGAATATTGCTGAGTGCGGAGTAAAACTAAACTCGCACACTCCCACTCGTCTTTATTTAATCAACTAGACTGAGTCTATCCTAAGACCGAAATGGTCGTTGTCCATGTGAAACTGATTGCAATTCTCAAATCTTAGTGCGGCGAACATAAAATCCTCGTATCCTAAGAAGTGAAGTGAGGTGAAATTGGGTTTTACGTCGTGCTTGAGAATATTTCGCTCATATGACGACGTGCATGCGTGTGTATGTGTATGTGCGCCTGCTTGTACTAGCCCAGACTGAAGCTGGTTTTATAGTGCTACCCCACTGAGATACCATGCCGCAGTGAAGCAGAAATACCCTACTCAGACACATTATACTGACTCCGAGCCGAGCAGTCCTTGTTGTACCCATTAATGCCGAGCGCCAGACAGGGACCAACAAGTACCATATGTTAACGTCTTTTGGTATGACGCGGTCGGGGATCGAACCCGCGACCTTCCGCTCTCCGGGCGGACGCTCTAACCACTACACCACGGAGGCGTAATCCTAAGAAGTAAACACCGTCAGAAAGTTGACATGGTAATTCTGCATTCCGTGCGATACTGTCAGGCTCGGCTTCCACAATCACAGACATTTCTACTAAAGTACTAACGGAAATGGAAATAAAATGTTTTTTGGCGTATATTTGTTTATTACTACATTAAAATAAGTAGTTTAACAAATATTAGCATGACTATGTTTTTCCCAACTAGGCCTTTTAATTTGGTCCTCTAATCATCATTCAAAATACCATTTTACAGGTAAAAATAACAAATATTTGCATATTATCAACAAATTTAGAAACATTTTATAACTTGCGTCACAATCAACAATGGGTGGCAACAACAACCTGCAGCATTGTTTAGACGGGAAGATGCATTTGCACGTGCGTTGCCATAGCGATTGTGCAGTTAACAATCAAAGCCATGAATGAATTCGTAAGATTAGTAAACTTTCAACAAGGGTACAGCCATGAAAAATGTACTGAGAAAATCCCCAAATCATGTATTTTGCATATTAATTAGGATATAAGAAATAAAGGATGAATGGTACATTACGTTTTTTCATAAATATATTATGTAGGCGAACGTATGGAGAGTAAAAGAGTTGCATCAGAAACGTACATTTTGACTTGGATGAAATTTCGAGGGGTAAAAATGACACGATTTGTCCTGTAAACTCATCTATTTCGTATGATTTTACAAAAAGTGTTAAAAACAAAAGTTGGGAAAAACGATAGTCATAGAATATTTAACAATCAAAGTTTAGTTGTGTGCAAAACTACGAAATAAACGGGGAAAAAAACCCAATTTATTTCTATTCCGTGAGTACTAGATATCATTGTTCCAAGCAGTAAAATTAGCAGTACACTAAGGAGAACTGGTCATGGTCTGACATGTGTTCGGTCACTTACATGGTCCATTGTTTCGTATTGTATGGAGGGATACTCATACAATACACTTTTCCATGTACACGTGATATGTTGCCATTGCAGTCTGCACACACAGATGTTATGGAAGTTTGTCAAAATCCCAAACCGCGACATCACCCATTCATACAGTCTAATCCCTGAATGAAGAATATATTCTAATTGGACAAAATAAAATAGGACAAAACCAATTGTACCTAACAAATTCAAGTCTACTGGAATTATCTGATACTTTCGTTTGGATACTTATAGTGATTTTTAACAAGTTCGAATGATCATGAACGGATTCTGAATTAGCTACAAACGAAATCAACAAACATGTTTACCATGGACTTGACAATACTACTGGAAGGATGGACATCTCTGCTCTCTTGGGCAACGGTCATGTCCCAAACATCCAGAAACCACACTTTCTGGTAGAGCTCCTTAAATTCTTCCTTCAGAATATGATTATATATAGGACCCCACATGCCGCCCAGTGTCTTCCTGTCCCTGAAGCTGAAGTAATGAGGCCCTTTGATGGCAACGGAGACGTTTGGCGACCTCGCCAAGAGTTCCTTCAGTGATCTCACAGTTCTCCTGATGTTCGTCCTGAACACCTTGGGATGGTGGTATTGGAAGTGAGCGTAGAGGTGGATCAAAAGGATATCGTTAGATCCTGGGGGAATTCCATCTAATGACACAAACACTGGGGGTTTCACCTCTGTTGATTTCGCCGAAATATATGGGAAGACCATGTCGGGTCCAGATGAGCTCATAGTTGAAAGCTTTCCTATACGCTGCTGACCGCCTGTGCCATTTGGTCGCATTCCATATCTGAGTGGAAAATTTGAGTTCGAGTTTGTTGAAGAGGTGAAAAAACCATTGGCGAACTGTTGAATCCCCAAACATTGTGATTGTTCGATTCTGGAAGCATTGGTTGTAGTTGGAGACTCGTGTCGGTTGGCATGGTAACAGTTTCCATGTATTATTAAAAAAATATCCAACTGGCGATGAGGTTGTCCATGTGAGCCTTTTAGCATCCCTTGTACAAGCGTTTGTTGGAATTGTCTGTGATGGCGCTAGAGGAAAGAGGGAATGAAAACAGATGTTAGAAATGTTAATTTTTTAAACTAGTAAGTAAAGTATAAATTGGTTGTATAAATATTTCTTACGTTTACCTATTAATGATTTACTATTTTTACAATTGATATTCCGTTTTGTTGTCGTATGACATTAAACTCAAATGGCATGGGTTTTCACCGGGTTTTCAATATTCCAGAAAATATGGCGGGGAAATGCAGGGAACCTGGGTTCCTCGAAGTGACGAGGCAGAGGTTAAAGCATTTGGATACCGTGGCATCACAATGTGTGAACAAATTTCTGATTTATTATCTCCACATCAAGAAATATCCCCCAACCAGTAGAACTATCTATGTGGACTTGAAAAGTGAGTATAAAAAATAACGTTAGTATCATACGTCAATCGTGTCAAAGGTCGTGCACAATGTTGCATATTCTTACAAAAGTCTTACAAAAGTGAGTAAGGTCACTTTTTAATGTGTTTTTATTATTTTAGGCCTACAAAACATGTTGTGGTTCCGACTACCCGACTGACCCTTAAATTCTGGTGCCGACCCTATTTTTTTTTAAGACAGTATGAATAAAATAAGCTTTTGAATACCATTGTTTTTTCCCCGCAACGGTGGACATCGGTCATTCTCATAGAGAAAGTCGACGGGACGGCCGCAATAAACAATTACATGCTGATAAATGTGTTATTAGTTTGTACTTTACTTCTAAATGTTAAAAATAAAATAAAATCCTACCTACCTAAATTTTAAAGAGGTGTAATCGGAACCACAACAATGTTTTTATTTGGCCTTAGATCCAATTTGAACTGGCATGAAAACCTAAATGGACACTTGGCGAGTACGCCCTTAATCTTACTTCTCTGGACGCTAATGCCACTCTCGATAAAGAGCAGCTTGCAGTGTGCCGTCTTTTAAAGCACTTCCTTGGCGAATGTCGCCATTCTACTATGTACACGACGCTCAAGGATCAGTGTCGAGATGGTTTAGTCTCCTTTGTCATATCGAAGTTGCCGTTCCTCGTTACAACTTTCGGATTAACCAAATTCCAGATTAACAGGTGAAATCAGTGTTTTCAGATTAACATGAGCGGGCTAACGACTGCACCTATACTTCCTTTAAATTATGAAACTGAATTCCTACCTTGTCGCACTGTAATGTTAATTGAATCTGTGTGCACTCTGTGATAGATGGCCCTGAATAAAATAATGTATACGTTCTGTTAGTAGATATCTACAAAGTACATAGTGAGAATCCTACAATGTAATGTTACACATGTACATGAACTTAAAAACGGTTCCTTTCCTTTAAATGAACAATTTGAAATGAGTAAGTGAGGGGTTATCTGATAAACACCTTCCGTTCATTTGCCATCAGGTTGATTTTCTTAGTTCAGTAGGTGATTGAGATTTTATGCAACGTGAAACAAAGCTTCTGCTCTGACAATGTTTTAAAGTGGACATAAGAACACTATGTTACAGGTAAGAAATGGACATGTGTTGGGGAAAATGGCGGCCATCTTCCATTTTTGCTGGGTAAGGGACCGTAAATAATTAATGGCTTGGGGGAGTGGGGGGTGGGGTGTTGATGATTTTTATGCAGAAGCATGTACAAAGTAGGTGACCCCCCTGCATGTCATGTACAAAATCAATGACCCTCTCCCTAGTTCATGTGGACAAAATTCATGACCACCCTGCCTCCCCAGAACAAAATGGGTGACCTCCTTAAAAAATCATCAATATTATCACCACATACACGCACGCACGCACGTACTCACGCACACACACGCGCACACACACACACACTAGCCATAAATCTGTCCTTCGCCGACAGGTTTTTAAAAAATGTATAAATATATTTTTTCTTAGTACATAACTTTGTCGTCACGCTGGCTGAAATATTGCTGATGTGACGTAAAATCGTAACTCACTCACTCACTCATAAATTTTGAACGGTCCCTAAGGCTTTTTCCTATTGTTATTTACAACAAAGCGGCCATCGATGTTCTTGGGTTTTTTAGGGATAATGCGGGATTCATCTGTATGTCATAATCACTATTTAATAAATAACATTTGAATCAATTTGCTTACCTTAGATAATACTGCGCTACTGTCTTGTTTTTATATAAAGTATTTGAATTAAATGATTCATGTGACAACTTCGTCCAGTCACTACACTGAACCCGACTGCTCTTCGGTTTTCCACAGAACCAAGGAATTCCGTAATTTTCAGCTGTCAAATTACAAACATCTTTATTGCCATGATCGACCGATGTCGAACCCACAGTTACCTCTCTTATTTTTTGAGCTTCGAAAATACAAAGAATGTTTTTCGATGCACCTTGTCTTGCGAAATACTGGTACATCATAGCATAACCTTCGCTTGAGCAGGCAATGACAGCATATTTGATAACTGCGCTTCCTGTCCATAACGCCCGGGAAAATGCCGGTATAGCTTCCGTTCACGTGATCAATCACACTTCCGGATGAAGATGCTCCTTTCTTCGGGTTTGACATCCATACTAGAACAAGATCTCCTCCTCTTGTCAGTGGCTTGTTGTAACCGTCACGGAGAACAAGGTGTACATGGATAACATCTCCTGTTTGAAAGTCGTTTGTGGTGTTCACAAGGTACATCTTTGAGTGCTCGCTTGATGGAAGGCTGTCTTTGTCGTAGACGACGCCATTAATGTCCCTTTTTGTGGGTGAGATGTCGTCTGAACGTCGTATTTGAAAAGCGTAGAAGATGTGTGTACCTTTATTAAAATGTCTGAAAAATTACGTGAGTTTAATACAATGATACAATAACAGTACAGTTATACTGGTAGATTGTCAGCCTACCTGGATCGATACTACTGATTATTTCGTACAGTTAACAGTAATGTTGTTTTCATTACTTAGATATCTAAAGTAAACAATTTCAACAATTTATACATTGAGGTACTTCTCGGACAGTTGATGAAACATGGAATTTAATCGGATATATTACCTCTATATCGTTAAGTATCTACATCAGACTGAGTCTTGTATATAATGCTCCAAGCGGATACAAACCTCTCACTCACTCACTTACTCACTCACTCACTCATTCAGATACTTACATCACTGAGCGTTCATGTGTAGACATATAGATAACCACCAGCACTGCAACAGAAACGATTACAATCTGCACCGTTGTCTTCCTTCCACGGTGCAGTGTAGCTATAGAGGCCATGTCTCTCCAAGAAGCTTCTGAAACATATTGGAATTCATGTTATATTCACCGTCGCTTCAGACCATGTCCTTGTTAAAGCACTGTGTGTCAGCTGAGCGAGAGGAGGACCAGTCGTGCAGTTCGTGGCCGTTTATATCTCGGGTCGTGATGCACCAACATCGATCAGTGCTAATTTGGGGTTCGAAACCTCATCTGATTCTTACACGACTACTCCTGCAACACGTTGTGCCAAGCTGTCGCTAACACCGGCTTCGAGTGACTAAAGAAACACTTCTCCCTTCTCTGCGTCTCTACACTTCTCCATATCTCGGGGCGGTGGGGTAGCCTAGTGGTTAAAGCGTTCGCTCGTCACGCTGAAGGCCCGAGTTCGATTCCCCACATGGGTACAATGTGTGAAGCCTATTTCTTGTGTCCCCCGCAGTGATATTGCTAGAATAGTGCTCAAAGCGGCGTAAAATCTCACTCACTTCCGGAAAGATGTAACATATAAATATCACATTTGCAACTTATTTCTTCAAAATATACTTACAAAGAGATCGGAACAGCATAAGGTTCACGCAGATATATTCAAGGTGAACACAACATTTCATATCCCCCGAGCCAGGTTCACACTTTCGTCACAAGCCCAGTATGGCCAGAAAAGTCTTTGTCTGTGAAGCACATGTACAACGGATTTACTTGTAGGTTTGGGTGGGAACTTTAAAAAAATCCTTCTGGTTCTCAGTGCTTTCAGTAATCAGTAGATATTGTAAAAGTTGAATAGGGGATTCAGTGTCCTAGAAAACCTTCAGCTGGTTCACAGTGGAAGGAGCTCCATGGATTCCAAACGCGCATCCCGCTGTGTCAGTTTAAAACTACAATGAGAGCGTCCAGGAAAGTGTGCATATGCGAACCACTTGTCCCTATTACTAATTCAATTCGCTGTGAGCTGCGTTCTTCGATCACCCGGTGGATCAACAAACGTATTATCGCAGGGACGAATCTTATCATGCACTTTAAATATTCAGTTTCATTTATCTACAGATGTTGTTGGTGATTTCGGAGGGGAGGAGGGAGACAGTACTCAAATATGTATGAGCTTTATCAGATGACGTCAGTTAACCGAAGGCTACATACACAAAACCATGGGTAACTCTGATCATAGGAAGTTATTGATAACTAATATAACTGTATAGCCTTCATAGAGTCCCTCAATTAAATACCGTTAGAATTACTCAAAGAAAGATAAAAACTATGTTCTGTGTCACTGAAGTAAAACAAACTCGTTCAGAAACCCTTTGCTTATATTTGGTTGCCAAACAGCCCAAAGTAGCTAGGAGGACAGTGTTGTTCTGAAATTGCTTTGGAACGTTTGGTCACACGTGACTCTACTAACTGGGAAGTAACAGACCGTCCCTGACTTTGAAATTTTAAATAAGGCAATTGCTTCTATGTCACTACTGTAACAATTTCGTTCAACAGTCAGTTTCCCTTAATGCTGAGATACATTAAAATCCCAGGGAGACACCAATTTTATGTTTGCAGTTCAATTTTGCTGTACTAACACACGATCTTATTCTAGTTCATTTCAAAAATAGGATCGTTTTACAGAACAATGGACGTATCAAACCAGACACCATACACCTAATCATAGTGCTATCAAACCAGACACCATACACCTAATCATAATCCTATCCAAACGTGACTATCAAACCACCAGACACCATACACCTAATCATAGTGACCACCATACACCTAATCATGCAATAATCATGAGCATAGTGCTATCAAACCAGACACCATACACCACTATCATGGAGTGCTATCAAGTGCCAGGCAAGACACCATACACCTAATCATACCAGGGTGCTATCAAACCAGACACCATACACCTAATCATAGGTGTTACTATCAAACCAGACACCATACACCCCTAATCATAGGTGCTATCAAAACAAGACACCATACACCTAATCATACTATCCTAATCAGACACCATACACACTAATGCTATCAAACCAGACACCATACACTAATCATAGTGGTGCTATAATCAGACACCATAGTGCTATCAAACCAGACACCCATACACCTAATCATAGTGCTATCAAAGAGCTGTTTGACATATAATCAAAGATGAATATTGTAGTCAATTACAGATTTGGTAGTTATTCAAATATGGCTCAAATTATCGTGAACAATTAACAAACTACTATGGATGGAGCTTGTCCGGATGGTTCAAACCAGTGCGTTAAGTTGAAACAGGAAACAAATTTAGAATAAACCCATTTCTTTCCCAGCCTGCTGTTATCCAAGCTGCATTCCTTGATCCACGTGAAACAAAGTTCAAAGAGACAATTTATTTAAAATAAAGCATAATTCATCCAGTTTTTTCTGAACAAAAAACAATTTGTGACATGCTGGACTTTCTCATTTGTCACACCTATCTGGGGGATACGACATTTATGCAAGAAGAAGGTATCCCTATGAAGACCAATCGATGCACCCCTCCTTGCGCAAGTTTAATTGCTTTCAAATAGGGATGTCTGCGCAGATTGCAAAACTAGACAAATATGTATGAGCCAAGATGTTAAGCAAACGTTAGGTATTTCGATGGTTTGATATCGTTTTGATAATGGTCAAATAGAGAAATCATTCAATCCATCAGTATTGCAGAATTCCGGAGGAAGTAGAAACCTATGGCATGAAAACAACCAGTTTTCCGCTTCTGAAAACAAATTCACGAAACGGGCAAAGATTATTTTAATGTTATTCAAATACTTAATATTTTTCATTTTTCAGAATCAAAAGACAATTAATATTTAAATAGAAATACAACATGGGGACAAGGCAATAAGCTATATCATAAAAAAGACCATTAATAGTGAGTGAGTGAGTGAGCGTATTTTGACTTTGTTTAGGTACATTTCTGTATACAGAAACGTACCTGGGGTACACATCTAGTACCCGTGCCGACAACGACCAAATAAGCGTTATTAATTGCGGATGTAGCCTTACTGTGGCACACTGCTGATCAAGGCCACAGCGAATTCGAGATTCGAAAGCACAAGCAGCGATTCCCGGTAGTACTAATCTCTTCCCGTGAATTGTCACCTTAGACACCTGGGGTATCCTGTCAGGATACGGCACAAGACTAAAAGGTGACAATATTATAATGAACAAAGATTGATCAGAGGTCTAAACGCATAGAAAAAACCAGTACGAGAGTCCACATTGTTACCCTCATCAGTGCAGCTAGGGCCATGTTGCATGTCGAGAAACAAACATCACAGAAGCTGAGAATAGAAAGACGGATGAGGAGTCCACAGTGCACAAGAGTTCGCCTCTAACTAAATATAGATTATTACCATACAGTTCCTGTGCTTAATACATGCTGTGTACCATACAGTGCCGTGTTGCAGGGCGCTGTTGATCTAGTAATCAGTTAATTAGTTCCACGTTTGTCTTGGGATAAGCCTAAAGTCCTAATAATGCAGAACTGAGGTGTATGCGTTTCAATGCGCGTCTGTTGAATTATTTACTGGAACGAGCTAATCATGCACCTCGCATCTCTTGATCACCGATAGTAAATACGTCATTGGGTTGTGTACATCATCTGTGTATTTCCAAATGACCAAGCTGTCGATATAGGTGGAAACTGGGAAACAAACGCTCATTTATGCCAGGTCTACAGCTGGCGTGTCCGAGCAGATCAGAAATGCCTAAAGTTATCCACGTAGACAAATGTAAGATGAGTTATGAATATATTTTTATTGATATGAAAAAAAGATATTCCAAGATTCAAGTTTCAAGTGTTTATTTAAGTATTAGAGGCCACCAGCCCAAAAAGTACATGGGTACATATAGGTACAAATGCAACATAAATAGTGGAAAAGAATGCAAAAGAACATTTCAAACAGCTTTAAGCAGCACATGGAAAATAATCTATTTTATGAATGCTTATATTATATAGTTAAACAAAAATATCGAAATCCTGGACAAGTACAGAAGCATCCAAATACAACCCAGAACACTATTGCAATGGACTTGTCTACAAAACATCAAATGATTAATTGCAGAACATGAGAAATTAATTGGGACAATCACCAAGCACCACATGTTCGCATTGATCTTGACGGCATGTGTTTAATGGAAAGACCAGTGAGCGAAAGC